AGGAAGAGTGTGAAGTTCACAGGGGCAACACGGAGTAAAGACTCTCAAGAAATTATAATAGTCACGAATGGTGTAACTGCACCTTTTAAACCATGCCAGGGAGCTAATCCTTTTGAAAGCCACACAGCCAATTTAGAGCAAATTTAGGAATATGTTTTCCATTTACAGCTTACATGACACATTGATATTAGTGTTGGAGACCATTTGCCAAAAGAAATTACAGGCAAAGCTTCAGCAGTTTGTCTCATGAAAAAGCTGGCACTTGTCTGTCAAGCTGCCTTTTATTTTGCTTCTGTTTTCAGGATTTTTTGATGAAATTTATGGTCTGATTCTGTAAGGTTTGCAAAACTCTAGTTAAAAGACATTACTAATAAATATTCCCACAAGGCCTGAGGAATGTCTGCATCCTCCTCAGCAGAAGCTGCAAAAGCCATTCAGTGGCAAGGCAAAATAATTAATTCCTGGCGTGCCAGGAACTTTCCAGTATCACTAACCAGAAATAAATTAAATTAAGACTGAAATAAACAAGACAATATCTATCAACATTTTCTGAAGAAGCTTCTTTGGTTTTGCCTACCTTTTGATAAAGTAAGAGAAAAGGGCATTTATATTCCACATAGTGAACAGACTGATTGCAGTTTATAAAAATTGCCTCATTTGAAATCTTTCAGCCTTCTGAACACACTTGATCATCATGATCACCGATTTACACACAGTACTGGTACTCCTCTGGGACACAGTCAGGTGCTTAACAGGAACTGAAGATGTGTAGGTGTCGTGGTTTAAGCCCAGCCAGTAACTCAAGACAGTAAGCTTCCTAAAGGGGTAGGGTTTCCGAGCTCATCTTGTCCAGCCTACTACTTCTTTATGGATTATTTTTCACTAACACGAGACAAATTAAATTTGTCTTCTAAGAAGAGAAAGCAGGCAGTGATTATGCTCCATCCTACTGGCTGAGTGTCACCAGGAAGGACAGAGCAGTCCGAAAGTGCTGAATATAAGTGTGAAATCCTCCTTTATGCACTTCCTCATCACCACAAACCTGAGGATCTCACTCAGGCTATCAATGTGTTCACTCGCACGAAAAAAAAGGCCATGTTCAGAGAGGGTTCTTCTTGTTATAGCATGACAAGCCAGGGCACACACAGGTGGCTTTCTGAACGTCAGGAATCTCCTCAGCAGGGTAGCTGGTGTTCACACTGCACCTCAGAAGTGACCACAATTCAGACTCAGGCAAAAGAAACCCCCCCTACGCATCTCCATGACAGCAGACACCAGAGCCCTCATACGGAGGAAGATGCTGCAGCTAGGAAGAGCCTTGAAATATTTTGCATGAAAAAAGGAAATAGCTATTTGCTGAGCCACAGATGCCATCACAGCATTAAAAACTTCAAGGGAAAGGAATTAAGAAAGTAACAAAGTTGTTGCACAGTTACTGCTGTAAAACTGCCCCACTGCAGTTCCAATTGATGGCCAGAGCCGGGCACATGCTGAAGGAGGGAAGGCTGCAAGTAGCCGAGCAACAGACCCTAGGTTTGGCAACGACAAAGGTGGCATTAACAAAGATGGCCACAGAAAACAGCTCCATTAGATGCAGTTGTCAACAAATACGGATACTGAGGCAATGGATTCATAAATACACCAATGCAACTAAGGCACCCCTAACCTTTGCCTAAGGGATCGAACCTTTAAAAAACACAGCTGATATGATCTGAAAGCTCCTCTGTAAATACATCAGCCAGCTGAACAGGCAAAAAAAGTTAAAAAGAAGCATTCTATCTTTAAAAAAGCTCACTGTAGAGACACTATGGCAACTCAGGGGAAAAGGAAGAGAGAAAGATGGAGAAAATACCACCATCACTGAAAAAAAGTGTACACTGTACTTATACCAATTATTATTTTTTTTTTGGTAATCATTCAAGGTAATGTTTCAGTGTATGTCACATCTGCATTTAATGTGAACAAATACACATTCAAAACTGGTCGAGAGCCAACGTAAACAAGAAGAAACCACACAGACTTCAATGTAAATTAAACTGCCACACTGTAACGCCAGCTGGAAAATTTTGTTTTTCATCCTCTCATCTGCATCCAGGACTGGCACGATGCTCCCCTTCTGGGCCTCAGTCTTCTTGATGTCTGAAATGTCAATGTATGCTCCGCTTTTTCATTTCCCTGCCCACCTCCTGTATCTTCCCAGCCTATTTCATTGTAGAGATCAGCCTGTGGCTGCAGACCACTGTTCTGAGAGATGAGAGAGGAAGGGACTAGGAATGGGAATTTGCTTCAACAAACACCCAGATTCAATAACAGTATCTCATTTGGTGAAGATAAAACACAGGGTATCAGGCAATGAGGGAAGAGAGACAAGTAGGAGACCACAAACATTTTTGCAAGCCTCAACGGCCAGAGTACAAAAAGTTGTCAAGAAAAAGTTTGCAAGAAAAATAAGAAAGTTGGATGGATTAATGGGAATAGAGAAAACAATTTCCATAAAGAAAGCAGCAAAAGAAAAAAAAATATTTGCAGACAGATTTTAGGGGCATATTTTAATTCCTCATTTTTTAAAGCTCTCTGTTTGCTACTACCATTTTAATTTTGAAATTTTGCCCTCCATAAATTGGGGAACCATACAGAGAAATGAACACTTCTACTGTGACTGACCACCACTGTAACTAGAGGTGATGCTCAGATCAGATGCACAAGCCATATTACACCAATCTTTAAACAACGTGGAGACTGCAAGAACAAAGATTGACAAAGGCAGGGAGAGTCTCTCCTTTCTGATAACCTACGTATTTTATGTTATTCACCCCTGTCCCCCATACCTCCTTTAACACTCCTCAAATGTGTATTATGCAGAAGAGCTAATTTTACCACAGGGACCTGCTTCAGCATGCTTTTGATATTAGCAGAGGTTCAGCTGCTATTTTTTACAGAGGAAAACTAGAATCTTGGACCTTGATCCTTAGAAGAATTCAACTACTTTTCAGCTATAAAGCTAATGTGGGCTAAATTTGCAAACCACTTCTTCAAAAAAAACCAGTGCTTTTCTCTCAGGATCCTTAACAGAATGTAACACAGAAAATAAGAATGGCAAGAGAAGAAAAATATATATAGCCTTCTGAATGAAATGGATTTGTTCACAAGAATAATAATTAAGAATACACTTTAAATGTTGCTCTGGTATACTTGGCCCTCTTTTTATTTATGATCTGGAAATGCTATTACAGAGGTAGTTTAAATAGCGATTTAAATATCATAATAGAAGGCAAACATCTCAATTTCCTTGAAGCCTTCTTGTTACCATTTTGCAAAATTTGTGATAAGACTTTTTTCATATTATAAAAAGCATAGCTCCTCAAGAAAAGTTCATATTTAAGTTGGATTCTGGCACTCTTAAGAACAGTAAGGACACATTTTGACAGTCTTATTCATATAAATACTGGTCTAATATCATTAAAGACAACAACAAAAAAAAAAAAGATGTGAAAATAGGATCCATCTCAAAACAAAACAGATTTTAAACATATGTGTGTGTTTATGTGCATATGTACATGTGCATAAACAAAAAAATCCAGAGAAATAGAGAACTGTTGCAGCTCATAAAAACACATCCTTAACTTGTCTTTTCATATGCCATTAGTGAATGTATTTACTTTTATTAAGATGACCTGAAATTCATACTGTAAGGACAATCCTGATCTTTGACAAACTAATTGTGACCACGCCATTAATCTGCCACCCAAAGTATCATAGAATCACAGAACGGCTTGGGTTGGAAGGGACCTTAAAGATCATCCAGTTCCAACCCCCTGCCATTGTCAGGGACACCTCCCACTAGACCAGGTTGCTCAAAGCCCCATCCAGCCTGGCTGTAAAAACAGGTTTTGCAACCTATTCTCAGTGAGGTCTAAGTAGGCGTAAAAATTGCTATTTCCAACAAACATTTCAATGTTGTGGATTTGGTCCTTTTCTTTTTAAATTCTTTCTCTAGAATTCTTTTAAAATGCATTTGTTATAAAATCGTACTTCTAAACCAGACTTTTTCCTTCTTCTTCCAGCAGCACAGTGTCTCTGCCATCTGTAACTAGCAAGGATTCACATGTGGTTTTTAACTCATGTCAGTGCACATAAAGAAATCATCACTGCTTAGAATGTGTATACAAGTGAAGAAAAAAGTGAAATCTGAGTGGCTCCCATTGCAATTTGAATGGTTCATCTTTATAGCAGCAAATCTTGTTGCAATTGAGCACAACTCTTACACTAAAGCATGCAACATTGTGTTCAAATGTTCAGAGTTGAATTACTTACAGCATTTCTATTTACTGTATTATTTCTTCTCTTTTCACTTCAGAGCAGAAAAGCAAAGCAACTCCTATTTTAAACAGCTGTGCTAAGATGCTACTTGAAAAACTCATTACTGAAAGCCACATACCAGATTTCACTTTAAGTTTACTATTGTTCAAACTTCCCTCGTAGACCGAAGCTCACAGTGTGCTTCCTCCTTATAATGCTTCTCTGTTATCAAGACTGTAAACGCATCCAGAGAAACTTCATTCCCAACTATTCATCTCATTCTTTTTTGAGGATTAGCTGTCTTGCAATTGCTATATCTCCAGTACTTTACACTTAGTTAGTTATTAAAATGCTAACAGCTACCAGTTTTCAGCAAATCTATCTTTTAACATCCATGGAGGCTCTGCATGAGTATAGTGATTTGCCTTTATGGTTAACTGAAAGATAGCAAATGAAGTTATAACACTAAAATGTTACCTACACTACAATAACTACTAAGTCGTAACAATGGGAATATAAAAACCTACAGTGGCACATAAGAAAATAACAAAAGAACTTAAAATATACTACTACAGGTGAACTGAATACCTAGAAATAGCATTTGTGCTATAATACAGCCCCTAAAGCCTCCACTGAAAAATGACATATCACTGGCACCAGGTCTTGAAAAAACAGAGAATTAAGATGCAATCATTACTTACTGGTTTAGCGTCACATCTAGGATGAAAGATGATCCAAAAGCATCAACTTGGAAGCTGGCTCGAGCAATGTGGGTAGACTGCAATATTGAGAAGACTAGAATTAGTATTTAGCCACAGCAAAATATATTGTACAGGTCTGTGAATGAAGATATTAAATATATTTACTAAGTAACTATGCCATTAACCAAATAAAATTGTACTGAAATAGACAAAGCCATCTATGATGACAAATAAAAGATCTGTTTTCTGAATCTACAAGACTAATTCAAGAATTCTAAACAACACAACCTATGGCTGGGAGTAACCCCGCTGTCAACCTACCCACACCATAGGAAATGGCTTTCTCTACTTCACCTTCTGCAAAACCCTGAGCAAAGGACAATGGAAGTCTTCCACTGGCTAATGTGTTACTCGTTCCTTGTCCTGACTCTGGCCACAGACCAGTGGAGAATAGTTAGGACATTATTGGTTTGGGCAGACTGGGATACACTCACAAATCTCCCTGACATTACCTGAAGCAGCTGTGCATTCAGACAGACTCTCATTTAAGCCAATAAAGCAAGACAATAGCAATGGGCTAAAATCTGATTAGCCGCATTTTATGTAAATCTCTGACTCAACACTCTGTAACCCATCTCCTCTAAAGGGCTGCCAAAACTCCAATCCCCTGAGCAGTCACTAAGTCCAAAGAAAACTGGGTGCTAGAGAAACCTTTCTTTCTTTCTTTCTTTCTTTCTTTCTCCCTTTGCCATATATTTTCCTTGAATTAATTGCTTTCATTCAGTCCTATAGAGGACAAACATGGGAATACTTTGTAAGTCACAATCTGCCAGAAATAAGAGTATTTACTGTAGTAGTAGTGGAAGAAAATACCGAGCTATCCAATGGAAATGCAACAGTTGTTCTAGACCTGAAAACTCCCAAGAAACGAACAGCCATGTTATTTACCTAATTAATAAGAAAAGCTACTTTCAGACATTTTGGAGCAGTTTCAACTTTGGTCTCATTTTCCTTCCATTGAAATCTGCACATTAAGATTTGAAGCATGTAGATAGAGGAATCTAAGAGGAAACATTGAAGAACCACTTAAAACTCTAAACTACACTTCTCTAAATAAATACCAAACAGGATAGTACAACTGTAACAAATTATTTATTGAAAACTCTGGGAAGCACAGGACAGGATGGGATAATGTGAATCATCAAATTCACTCTCTCCAAAACTACTGGCAGGCTTTCAATAGGCATTAAATCCAGAAGAGCTGAGAATACCAGTTTCCCTGGAAAAGAACAGTAACAAAGAAATGGAAAGTCGAGAGAAACATGACTTTTTTATGACATTTTTAGTTGCCCTACAGCAGAATTTTCTTTTATGTCCACATATATAAGCACAAGTACTAATAAATCAAACAGACCACAGCCATGAATATGTGTTTCCAAACAGTTGATTCCTTTAGAAAAAAAATTAGACAGCTTCTCCTATTAGAGGATGCTCAGGCTGAGTGCCCTCTGTAAAAATGCCATGCAGTGAGTGTGCATGCAAAATGGCATGATGAGAAATTCCACATATTTAGATTCTTACAGTTTAGAAGGACGCAGTATTAACTGGAAAGCTTCTTAGAAGGCTTCTCAGTAGATACAATTCAGAGAGTCAGATATCCTTTCAGCTACCCCTATTACATCTAACCTACTTTGCAACCCAGGCTACAGGTCTTTGCTAAGTGGTTCCTGTAATTTCTGAATTATTTAAGAGCATCTCTTTCAACAAATGCATAATCTTTGACCAAATAACTGAATACAACATATAGTTTACCTTATTTAGGTAAACAACTTCAGTGATTAATTACCATCAATATTAAAAGCGTAGTTTCTATCCAAAAATCCTATTACAAAAAAAGGCAGCTAGTCCCGCTAGTCCAAAATAGCCCATGACACAGCCAGCTGGTATCTGCAATGACAGACACCCACAGCACATACTGCCACCCACATGTAGGACCATCACTTAGCTGTTTCTGGCCTGCAGCTGCTAGCACAACCAGAAACACAGCAAAAACAATCATCAACAAATTATCACGTCAGCATTGGCATTTCTATCCCAACTCTCAGGCAGCACAGTTAGCTTTGAATGGTTTTAAAATTCCATCTTCTCTTGCTAGATGTGAATTTTTAGGCTGGTCCTCATAAACAGGATGTGACAGGCCAAGATCAAGTGAGGTACAAAGGGCCAATGCTAGTTTTGTCATTCCCTTGTTCCACTGCAGCACGTTTGCTAACCTTAGCTAGCCTTCATTTACCTTCCTGCACTGCAACAACCATTTTCTGATCAAAGGAATAATGGCAGCCCAGTTGTTCGCTTTTCAACATTACATTATTAAATGCAAAGAACATTCTACAGCACTTTATTGCTTGCTAACACAGCTACATATGCCATCAGTTAGACCTCTGTACACAGTATAACCAAGTCTTCTATATGACCACATGCTGGTACCAAAAGAGAATTTGTCGGTGAGGAAGAATATAAAAAGCCTAACTTAAATTTCTAAAAGTTCATATAATAAAGATAGCATTTATCACTAAAACGTATTCACCTCATTCACTGTAAGAGCAAAAATGAGGGGTTTTTGGTTTGGTTTTTAACTGCTAGGGATATTGCAACGTATTGATTTGGTCTGGGAAATCTCCTCCCTTGAACAAGTCTCTAAGATAAACATACAAGGCTAATGTATTTCTGAGGTGACTCTGGACCACAGTTATTCACTGACAGAAGCTATTAACGTGGATTTAAGAGATAAAATTACTATTAATACATGAAGATGAAAAACATTACACAGATGTAACCACCCCCAAGACAAGTAGTGCAAACCCAAGAAACTTACCATTAAATTTAAGCTCAAGCGCAATCAAGCGCACCTCAAGTGTATGTCAAACCTACTATCATGACACACATTTTGGATAGTGAGACAAACTCAGTCATTTCCAGAAATTATAGCCCTTCCTTTAATCCTGATATTTGGTTGTAAAACACTGCAACACTGCATACTGAGCACTGCTGCCGAAAATGAAGAGTTCTGTCCAATCCCGGCCATGTGTTCCCACCTGGTCTCCCTCCTCAACTATCTGACTACCTGGAAAGTCAGATTAGCATCAGAATACCAATCACTTCTTGGAGTGGATCCATCTTCTGACAGACAAATAAGCTGATCCAAATAAACGATATAGTCACAGCGTGAGCAGATACAATAGAAGGAAGCTGGAGGGGACACACAAGAGAGAATGAAGAGGAAGACGAGGAAGACAGATTCCCCCTGTCAATGCACCTTAAGAGTGCCAGCCAGTACATGTTTTGGGATAACAATTCTTCTGAATATCTGGTTAAGAACCACAAAATAAAGAAACAGATATTAAAAAATCTTGTCTTTAAATTATTTTTAAGCACATCTACCTGCCTGCTCAGTGAATAGGTATGTCAATATGTCAATAAAAGAACCCAAAGAAAGGAAATATGTACTTTTATTCCATCTATACTACCTCATTCAAGCACAAGTAACAAGACAGACACCTGCAAAGGCTCTTCCAAACCACTGAAGCAAGACAGTTATGTCATTCAGCTCTCAGACCAAGGAACCTTCTCAGAAAATTCGAGGCTTTTTCAACAGCCAGGGACGTGACACATTGACGGCTGACAACTCAGTCATAAAAGGAGAGTTCTTGGAGACCAAGAGAGATGCATTCGATGCAGAACACAAACAAGAGCCAGGAAAGGAGACTCTAACGATTTAATGGAAGATCACGGTGCCGTGCCTCCAGCACAATCAAAAAGTTCTGAAATTTTAATGTCACGCAACTGAAGAATGAAAATATCGATAACAACTCTGAAATCAGCTACAGTACTTTCAGATGCAATTTCTAGTGGCACATGAAGTGTACTACCCTGCAATTCCCCTTATAGAAAACACTAAGCATCCCATGCATCTAATGCAACTATGCGAGGGCTGAATTTTATCAGATTGCAAAGTTTAGTGAATGTCTGCAAGGAATCAAAAGTAAATGGAGTGGAAAAAATTATTTCAAATCACCAAGCATGAAGACATTTTATAAAAAACAAATCTTAAAAGCTTGAATCCTAGAAAAACAAAGTGGTACCTTTGAAGGTACAAACCTTCCTGCCAAACCAAGAGGGACCCGATTCCAATTATTTTAATCACCTGCTCCATGCCTCAGGGATCACTGCAGTAACAGAGATGGACAATCAGTAAGAAGTGTGACTACTTATTATTACAAACAAACACAACAGAACAGCAATGATTTTTGATAAAGTCCCTTCAATACCCTTCCTGGGGATCAAGTTTCTCCAGAAAGTGGCCCTGAAAGAATGAGCATCTGCAAAGGGAATACACATGTATATCATTGCAGATCAATGGGGAGCCTGGTTGCACTGTACTGTAGGTAACCTTAAATATGTTTGGAAGATTTTCATTTCAAATTATGTCACAGATTTCAACCACCAGTGAAACATTTGCAAGCAATGCACTTTCTTTAATAATCAAACTAACGAGAATTTTGAAATAAAGTATTTTAGAAGTTTTCCTCACATTGCATATCATTAGTTGGGTGTTGAAAGCAGCATAGTAACATGACAACAAATATTTTTCCTCATTAAAGTAAGGAAAAAGATAATTAAAAGTATATTGTGATATAATGTACAATTCCTCATAACACATTCTTCTTACTCCTGAAGTATCCTTCAAAAAGCACTTTGATTGCTTTTTAGTAAATTTTGCTAGAAGAGATAACAACAATTTCTATCAAAAAATAACGTTGGGGTTTTCTTTTAAAATTATGAAAAAATCCTATTTATATGCTTTGCCTTTGATGTAAATAATTTTATATTTACTTCTATTTATAGCATTGTGGTTTCTAATTAAAAGATACTGATCAAATCTGTAGACGGAAGAAAAGCATCAAGAGAATCAAGAGATAAGATAATACAGAATGTTATAGCAAGAGAGAACTTAAAAGCCATGCTTCAGAGATTGTAAGAACAGTGAGGTTCTACAGCAGACATTCTGGGAGTCAGT